ATTGAAGCAAGCCACTCGGCATCGATTGATGCCATACGTCGGCATGGCCGATTTTTCATTTCTCGAGGAAAGACGCACAACTTAAATTGTTTGCTTCCACAAGACTGCATGTTGGGCGGATTTCTTTAGGCCGAAGACATACCAAATCGTGCACATTGCAACGATGCCGCTCTTGTAGTTCTGTTCGACTCAGATTTCCTTGGTCTGCGGCATACCTTTACGCCCGAGCGCTTCGAAGATCGGCTCGCAATACGGGCGTGAACGGGGGCCTTGAAGGATTCATTCAGGGATCTTACCGTTCCCGCGAGAACGGCTGAACGGTCAGGAAAGGCAAGTCTCCTTCTTGGCACGGAAGCGCCTTCAAGCCTTGACGACGATAGGGCTAGAACCGTCGCTTCGCAGCTTTCTGGTCTCGGATGCGCTAATGCTGTAAAACTGAGTCGTAGCGTGTCGAGGTGATGTTAGCTCCTGATTGCTTGTGTTCGACCAAGGACCTGAGACGACATCCTGCGGCTGGTTGTAACCCTCCACTTTCTGAGTGTGGGTGTCTGCCTTGAGCTGCATGATGACGGAAGCGAGCGCGTGTCATAACTGCACACGTTGCTTTAGGAAATCTCAAAGGCCGAGACCTTCTATTGCTATTCTGCCACGAGGTCTGACCTCCGTGTGCGGAAGCACTGCGCTGGCGACACCGTCCGTGTGCAAGGCGACCAATGATTATCGGTGAACAAGGTACTGGATAATAACGGGCGCTTGGGTATACAGGAACTCTCTAAGCGAGCATGCTCGATTGTGCGCAACGCGCGACAAATGCGGCATTGGTTTTGTTGTCCACGTTGGGATATGGAAATGATGTTCGGTAGATTCAGCGAGAAATGGCAAGAGTGGCAGTAGGCTTTCCCACCACGCTGGTCGTTCCTTACTACCGGTTACGCCCTGTTGCCGGTGAGCTTGATACTGTGCGAGATGGCCGCATACACGGACGTATACAGAGTGCCCCTCACCAAGTTTCGGTGTGCTAGATGAACGGCAGTTATCACTGTCTTTTGCTCTTGTGCTACCGCATCGCACGGCCAAAAGAGTCGCGGTGGGTACACAGAGAGGGGTTCATGCGTTGCATGGTTGCTAGACCAATGACAGTGTTTCAGATGCTGGATTGTGTGCGTCGTAGGGCTGTAGGGCTGCGATAGAGGGTGAATGAGTTACTGTGATCGGAAAGTGGCTCGACTTGGCACGGCGGCCGCTAAATATAGGCCGTTTCCTCCTGTGACGAATTAGCGCGCTTGTCGCTTGCGTGCTGCACAAATGCATCTTGCTTTTCGCGATAAATATGGAAGGAACAACATTAGCACAGTGGCTATCCTTTAACAATCGTCATCTAGCGACACCGAGGTAGCAAAATAGCATTGAGAGCGTGTATGGCGGTTCACCGGTTAGTGTGTTTTGGTATCGAGGAATACGCTCATGTATGCGATGCTGTACTCGTTGTGTGATTAAATCATCCTATACCTCTCCTGGATATACACCCGGCCAAGGACAGCAGTGTACCAAGGTATGCTGATAGCTAACCCGACACTGCAGCTCCAGATGAAATCACATGACCTTTCGCGGCATCCACATCTCTCAGGCAGTTATTGCGCACAGCGGTGAGATTTGCACGGAACGCCCGATAGAACGGTCGCGTAATGCCCCAAAGGGGAAGTTGATATGTGCTAGTGGTTGTTTGACCACTCACAGCTCGAGATAAGAACCGATAGCAGGGGTCCCGCACGCCGCTAGCCGTCTGGGGGCACACGTGGGTCTATCCGCCTTACAGACTCACCGTCGGAACGACTTCGATTTCTGTGTCGCTTCCACACGACTTGAACGTCGTGTAGGGAATATGCGTTTCAGCTATCGCGGACCGATCATGGACTTGGCTATGCACTGCGCGGTTTAGGTGCTGTCGGACATCCCTACGGTGTGCCATCTGTCACCGTAGCATGGTAGTGTCCCAAACGGTGTGGAACATTTCAGTTTGTGCGCTATCACGACAAGCCAACTCGGTGCATAGGGTCAAAAGAAGACACCTATGTAATGCCTGTCAAGCTGGGGTTCCTGACGCCTGCTGGTGCGCAGAGCACCGATTCGCGTTTGATCAACTCCGCCATCGGGGCGTAACTCAGCCATGCTAGACGAGAGAATATTTCGAAGCAAGCGTGTGACTGTGCCTACTACAGCGGCATAGTGATTCAATTGCTTCGAGACTGTTCCTTGGCTGTCACTCTATCTTACTTGAAGCGACGAGTGAGTGAACACGATCTATTGGGATGCTGATCGACACTGGCAAGCGCATGCGGGAAGGAAGAGTCTCCCGGTGCCACGACCTTGGGAGTATACAATGTCAGGAAAGCTTGTCTAGTCTGGCTATCAGAGCAGACGGACGACTTCAGCGGCCCACGATACCGTTAGCCTGTCTTCTGGGTTCGAGTTGCTGACGCGGCGTCGGGGTAAAAGGTACATTCTGCATATATCCGACACATTTGCCCTGAAAAGCCGAAACAGTCCCCTTGTAGGTTCGTTGAGACATTCCCAATGAGAGAGTCGAATGAGCAATGTCAGTGCCTCCTGGGCCAAGTCGTAGAGTGACAACAGTTGCAGCACTGTCTCCAAACATGTTCCCTGTCGATATCTGAACGCTGCTAGACGGCTTTTACAGCTGAAGGCCTGATAGCGAAGTGGGGAGTGTCTCTCAAGCGCGGGGATATGGGCTCCAATGTTTGAGGCGAGTCGCTCTAGACAAGCTCAAAGCTCCACACATAGCGGAACTAACATCGAACCGAGGAGCCCTACGAGAGCAGCTGAGTCGCGATGGTCCATAGCTGAGGTTGAGGTCGCAACACGTGTAGTATGTCGATATGCCCTTTTCCCCCTTTTGATGGATAGCGCAGTCGAGCCACCGTGATCTACGTTGAGCCAACGCGGGTGTCTCAGTCGTGTTCTCCGAACTTGAGTCAATTCGATGCTCCTATGGTTGTAAATCGGCCCCCGCAATCTCCATGCTCTGCGCAGCGGTAGGGCTACCGACAGCACCAAGCCGTATAGCGTGCGCGCGGACTGCCCCTAGCGAGGGCTGAAGATAGTTGATATTTGCCCATCACATACCAAGGATCAACGGGACGATGTACCTTTACCTCTGAGCGGAAAATGAGGCACCACGATTTGAAATGGCTAGTGATATCCCTACAGTCGCCATATCAATCGAAAACACGGCGCCTGCAGCAGGCTCCCGTGATACATAGATAGACGATAGAATAACGGAGTATACCACATGATAGCGCTATGTAGTACCAGGCAATCATCCAAGACTCCTCAACGATCAGTATAGCAAATTCACTAGGAGAAGCAGTCTTGAAACGGCACCTCATTTGTATGAAGATATTCTTGGATGTCTTGCACTGGCGGCTCAGTGAAGGCGCAGCTGCGGAAGGCGCGAAGCCTTCAAGCCTCGACCGCCGGGCGTAGGGCGTACCGTTGGAAATAACGGCAACAAGACGCTAACAGCGCATTTTACCAGCAACAGACGGGTTCAAGGTGTGTCTGGCAGTGTCTGTAGATGATGGAATTCCAATGGTGATTGGCTTTTCCTTACGTCGTTGGTGGAAACCACGCATAGCTAAGCTTTGGGCTGACTGCCACTTTGCGCACTTGGGCCCAGAACTCACCGACACCGCAGTAAGGTGCTGATGCGGCTGCGGAAGAATATGGGACAGTGCGTAGGGCTGGTGGGATACTATGCTGTTCCCAAGTAGACGTCTGGGGCTCAACGAGTGGTGGCGCTCTCGCAGCAGGGTACTTTACTTAGGTACCGCGTTACAAAGCAGACTAAGAGGATGGAACGGCTGGGCTGCTGCCCTTGTGCTAGCTGTATGCAGGATATGGTCCTGATACAGCAGGCTTCCTGATTCCTACGAGGAACTGCGGAGAGTCGGTGTCAAGCAGCAGCAGCTGTCGGAGCTGTCGGAATGCTAGGGAACAGCGACGAGTCGCGGTGTGCCAGGCCATCGAGAGGTTGCGCATGCACAACGGCGCAGCGGGGAGCAGCCAATGGCGGCAGGCGCTGAACGGGTGTGATGATCTGGTGTGAGCCGGTCAAGGCGCAATTTACCCACGACAGCGCGACGTTTGCATTTGTTTGCAGAGAGTTTCGCACTTGTCTGCTCGCTCTCGGTTTTGGCCCCCATGCTATGTGCGGGCGGGCATGCGGCGCAGTGGAGGGGACGGCCTGGCATGGGCGCGACTCTCAACGGACCAAGCTTGTGCTCGCGAGGGCCTTCGGACGAGAGCCGACGCGTGATGATAGCGACTCCTCGCAAGACGTCGACGCATGCGGGAGAGCATACGCACGCCGCACGCAGGGACGGAGATAATGACAGACCCGGCGCCGCGTGAGGTTCAGTGACGGGGCACCGACAGGCCCCGGGGTCATAGGGCTGTCTGTGATGTGCAATGCGCCAGCAGCCAGGGTAGCAGGGTTGGTGGGGACGCGACAGGGAACTGTAAAGAGGACATGGGATCAAGACACCGCTCCCCAGTAGAGGGTTTTCGTTTCGATACACTGCCAGCCCGACGCTTCCGTGCCCTCAGCTGCCAGCCTGCCCGTCCCTCACTGGCCCGCTGCCAGTCTGCGCTAGCGCCCATACTAAATTTACAAGACCGCAGTCGGTGAAAGTACAACGGCTAGGGTTGCTCCAAATCGTACCAAATTGAGAAATGCTCGAGCCCGCATCGCGTAGCCCAGGGTGCATGCGAGGGCCTGAAGCTGGGGACCAACACTAGCCAGTCTGTGCTCCACAAGAACGACTGCGGACGTAGACAAGACGGCGAGATAAATATACAGTCCTCCCCGAGTGCTAGAGCCTCTCATCATCCCACTGATAACCAGACATCCCGCTCCACAGTCATCCTTCTTCCATTCCTCATCTCTTCCTGTGTAAATGTCTCCCACATCTACCATCACCATGCACAGACACGCTGCCTACCCATATGCCAACCCGGCTCCCACCACCACAAGATACTCGGGCACCTCCTCAGCCTTCTCTGCTTCAGCAAACCCCAACGAAGACTGGACCAAGATTTCAGATCTTGCTGAGCGCAGGCGGATACAGAACCGCATTGCCCAACGCAACTACCGCAAGAAGCTCAAGAAGAGGCTCGAAGCCTTGGCGAGTTCTTGTGCTACCACGCCTCGTACCACTCGGAACAGCATACTAATCGGGTTGCAGGAGCGTCGTGCTGCCTCGAGCTCAGCTTCACCTGAGCAGAAGCCTGCTGAGCTGCAGCCACCACAGCGATCCCCGCGCCAGGAGTTTCCTTCTCCGTCATCTTCGGAATCCTCGTACACCACCCCACCTGCTGAGGATCGCATGTTCTCGCATCAGTACACACGCCAGCTTTCCACCAGCCCACCACCTCCCTTCTCCGTAGCATCGTATTCGTCGGCATACCCAGCACCAGATGCAGTTGCATACTCAATGCCGTACTCCACCTCGCCCTACCACACAATACCAACCACCCTCACACCGGAGATGCCGAGCTACACTTACCTGCCACCGCCTCACTCGTCCTCGTACTCGACTGGCCTACCAAGCCTTGTGCCGAGCATGAAGAACGAGTACTACGCCGACGAAGATACGAGTCCCTTTGGCGTGGGCTACGCGGCCATTTGCGGGAACGACATCCTACCACCACACTCTTACGCAGACTCTGTAAGGATCCCCACTCGCCAACCCTACTATGCATGAACGCCCGACTCTTGCACTCGCTGCTCCTGCTGCTGCTGCTTGGACGAGCAACCGCTGACGGCCGCCGGTAGACGACACTACCTTTCGACTTACCAACAACGCCACGGACACTTCCGTTGCATGCGCTCTCCACCATGTGAAGAAGCGACGGTTGGGAAGGCGCTTTGTCTACTCTTCTTTGCGAGACACTGTCTCTCTCTTCTGTGTTTATAGTTTGTGTTTTGCATTTCAGCGATCGGTCGTTTTCATTTGTAGCAAAGGTCCCTCGCTTGACCACGGGAACTTGGTGTTTGGCGTTGCTCATCTCTTAACTGAGATTGTTTTGTCATGACTGGGGACGAAGCTTGCCATGATACGTAGCCCCAGTGCCAGTGCGAGCCTGTGTTAGGCTCGTACAGCAATGAATATTGTTATCTACTCGAATATCCTTGACTTGTTGGTGACTGAGAGGTGATGCGATGCATTGAGAGATGTGCATGAAATGTGCAGTGATGGTAATGAGCAAGTCGTGACCGCGCGACGAAAGCGCCATGGGCGGTGAGATCATAGCTCATTCCGCGCGTGCTCCGCCAAGCCCGTCGCGACGCGTCGTGCCTTCCAGACCCGCGCGGGCAACGTCAGCGACAAAACCCGATTGCGACCACAACCACGACTCCGACATGGCTTCCATCAAGCGCTCGCGCGTCGACAAGGCACGACAATATCTCGCCGGCGGCGCAGTGTTCCGCGAAGACTCGGACGACGAGCTTGGCTACGAAGACCACCCCTGGGAATGGATCTACGATGAGGATACCATCGACGATGCGCAGCCAGAGAAGAATGCCTCGCCAAGAAAGAGAAAGGCTGCGCCCACGGCGCCAGGAGAACGCATCGTCGGTGCGCGCATGGGCAGCTTCAAGTGTAGAGTGGGAGATGCCGTGCTCCTCAAGGCAGAGGGCAACCAGGCATGGGTGGGCATCATCTGCGACTTCCACGAGGACCCGGACGAAGACGAGAAAATGGCCAAGTTCCTGTGGTTCTCCTCCGAAAAGGAGATCCGCAACCAGAGCAAAAAGCGTTCCGACTTTCTTCCCGTAAGTCGCTCGGCCGTGCTCCAGAGTTATGCACACTGACCTTCGACAGAACGAACTCTACATATCCGCCGCCTTCGACGACAACCCCTTAGCCTCGATCAACGGCACTGCCAAGGTATTCTCCCTGGATCGATTTCAGGAGTTGTATCCGACAGGCGTCAAGAAGAACTCGAAAGACTACGGCAAGGTCTTCGTCTGCCGGCGGGGCTGCAATACGCGCACGACCACATACACACCAGAATTCAAATGGGAAGACGTCTACAGAGATGCCAAGGACATCCCAACAGTAGTCGATCTTGTGGAGACCCAGACCAAAGCCACTAGGAGAACTGCCGGTCGTCCTAAGAAGCAACAGCAGCAGCCCGACTTGGACCAGTTCGTGATCCCTGACTCGGACGATGATGACTTACCAAAGACTCCACGGAAGCGCCGGAAAATTAATGAAGCGACCACCCCCACATCGACCAGGAAGAGCCCGGCTGCTAGGAAGTTCCTTACTCCAACACACAAGAGGATAGTCATCAAGAAGCAGTTGGAGTTCACACCGCTTGGCACACGCGTGCTCGACCCTTCGGCCCTAAACTCACCATTCCAGATCGCGCGGAACCAACTCCATGTCTCCTCGGTACCTGCCGCTCTCCCCTGTCGAGAGGAGGAGTTCTCTACCGTCTATAGCCATTTGGACGCGGCCATCACGGACGGCTCGGGCTCCTGCATCTACATCTCGGGCACGCCTGGTACAGGGAAGACCGCAACTGTGCGCGAGGTCGTTGCCCAACTTCAAGCCTCAGTTCAAGCCGAAGAGTTGGACGATTTTATATTTGTTGAGATCAATGGCATGAAGGTCACAGACCCCCACCAATCATACTCGCTGCTATGGCAGGCATTGCGCGGCGACCGGGTGAGCCCGTCACATGCACTCGAGTTGTTAGAACGGGAGTTCTCCACCCCTAGTCCGCGGCGGGTACCTTGCGTGGTCCTGATGGACGAGCTCGACCAACTCGTTACTAAGAATCAGTCCGTCATGTACAACTTCTTCAACTGGCCCGGCTTGCGGCACAGCAGGTTAATCGTCCTCGCCGTAGCGAACACCATGGACCTGCCCGAACGAACGTTGAGCAATAAGATCAGCAGTCGCCTAGGTATGTCCCAGCTAGCATAGCGATCCTTCAGGAACGCCCCACGCGTTTGGCAGACTTCGATCTCCATCATCAAAACGCTTCAATATCAAACGGGGACGCCGATGCTTTCGAACGATCTGCGTATCAATTTGATGGTATCGGTGCGACTTATATCGCTTGGTATGGCCGTTATTTGACAGGCAGGGGCTAACACGCATATTCTAGGCTTAACACGCATTACCTTCCCAGGCTATACACATGACCAGTTAATGCAAATTATCCAGTCCCGACTTGAAGGTGTACCCGGCAACATTGTACACCCTGACGCCGTTCAGTTTGCTGCACGCAAAGTGGCAGCTGTTAGCGGCGATGCGCGACGCGCGTTAGACATTTGCAGACGCGCCGTAGAAATCGCCGAAACGGAAACGATATCGCAGGACCGGGACGATGAGGTGCAGCCAGCCACCCCGAGTAGGACCGGTCGGGGTAACAAAGGAAATCTGCCTCAAAATTCTCGGTCAATTAAAGGTACCGGAGATCCGGATAGTCGGTCAAAAGATCGGGCGGGGCGGAAAGGTATAGTTACTATGGCGACGATCAAACAGGCAATCAATGAGGCCACGAGTAGTCCCCTGCAGCAAGCACTACGGGCTCTACCGTTGGCATCCAAGGTATTCCTTGCGGCACTCTTGGCACGGATCCGCAGGTCGGGCATTGGCGAAGCGATCCTGGGAGACGTTGTCGATGAAGCCAAACGGTTGGGGCTCATGAGTCAGTTGCTGCCTGTGCACGATTACATACTCGCCCCTGAAGACGGCAGTAGCGAAATGATGAACGGCGCAGCGCAGTCTATCACGCCGTCGAAGAACAAAGACGCTGTTGCTAACCTTAGTTCGAAGCAATCGGACCTCAAGGCAGCAAGAGCACTCGGTCTTGCACTTGCAGCCACTGAGCTAGCAGAGGCAGGCATTATAGGCGTAGAGGCCCGACATGGCGAGCGAGTAGGCCGCGTGAGGCTTGGTGTTGGTGAAGATGAAGTGCGACTTGCACTAGGAGATGATGAGACCGTCCGTGGTTTAGGTTTCGGTGCGTGATGCATTCGTAACCCCTCATCGCATTTGTCCATGCCCCCACTGCAACGAATTCTAGAAGGCTGGTATCTACGGCATAATTCATCAGCAACGCGCAGTCGGCGTTCTTAATATCCAACATCTGTATACCCTTAGCGGCCACATAATATACCCCTCAGGGCCTTAACGCCCGATTCCGCCCTTCCAATTGTATCTTGGGACTGATGCGATGAAACCAATGAACGTTGCAGCTGAAGTGCATTGCTGTGCCACAGATCTACCGGTCAAACGTTACAGCTCCGGGCCGCCGACCGGGATCGTTCAACGAACCAGATCGTTGTATGGTATTTTAGCCGTCCCCAACCGTTCCAGGCCATGAGCCTGCGTTGCGCTGCCATGTCTCGCGAAGACGAAGAACATGTCATTCCCCACGGCACCCACGTCTTTCGCATACACCAGCTCGAAGCGAACGCCATTACAGCGTGGGCCTGGCCTGGCCATTAATGCGGTGATTACAAAGATGCTTTTTCACGTATAGCCCAGCGCCTCATTCACTTTCGGCCTGTCTACCCTCCTTCAGGGTGCAGTGTCGGACAACATCATGCATTGTGGCGTGACGAAGCAGGTTTCAAGTTCACGCCCACTCTGCGATCACACCTGTGTTGTTGGGGGCTTGCTTTGGGACTGTCCTGTGTTGGCCGCATATGCGGCCTTTGTTTCCACTACCTGCTTGAATACGAGAACCTCGAGCTGTTTGGTTGGCTGTCAATGGTCACGGATGGATGGAGGGCAACTTCCTCAACGCGACGCCAACGCTCCAGGCTGAACGGCGAGGGGCTTGTTTTACATGTTTGAGATTTAATGATCATCCGCATCGTATGTAATATCGTTCGAGGCGCTTGTTGGACCGCAGGGCGTTTACTTTCGCAGCAAGGCAGCAAAAGTACAGCGAGAAATGTTGAGGGCGTGTATTGAAAAGAGGGAGGGTTAGTTTGGACATGTTCGGCTTGCCTGCTCGCTTGCTCTGGACATCGGCTGGGGCTTGTTTGAGTAACTCTTGCTCGGAATATGTTCCATATTCTGCAAGTGGGCTCTATTTGCATATGAAGCGAGAGGCATACAGATGTACATCGCATCTCGCTTGTGTACCGTGGCAGCCTTCGTTGAAGAGAGTAATGCCTAGTCCTCTTTTCTTCCCATGTCAAACTTGATCTTCCTCTATGATGTTTAATACTTCTATGGTGGCCAGGAATTCTATCATGCTTTGTGCTCAAATGCCAAATTACATTACACAATACTCCCACCAGGACATTTGTGTAGTATGTACATTGCTTAAAGTCACCTACGATGGCCACCCAGTGTAGCACGCTTCGAAGCCCTGGATATGATGGAAAATAGTCTTGAGTGTTGACGGGTTTGATCAATCTTGCAGATCCTCCAAAAGTTCGTTACGTTTTCTTATATCCACTCGCTAGCCGATAATGTACAAAAGCTCTCATACCAGAGAGCTAAACCCGCCCAGGGACTCCGTTCAAATAACATCCATATGCATCTCAGAAGGCGTCCCCTCAAGCTCATCCCTCCTCTTTCCCAAACCAAACGCGCAGTTCAGATCCACACCCACAACTCCAGCTGGCCATTCAATCAATGCCCAGTTTTCGCGGCCCAACGCCATTGCTACCGCCGTCACGATATCGGCTCCCAAACCCTCCAACCACCATACGTTTCTCACTCGTCCAGGCAAAACAGCGTAATGGGCTAATATGACAAGAGCATGGGCATTTTTGGCCTCGATAAGACCAATAAATTCGCGGGGTATGCGGGCTGCCCAGACAAATATAGCACCACGGTCTGTGAGCGTGGAGATGTTGGTATCGTCGATAGAATAGGGTACTGCTGTCATGGGCGGGTAGCGTTCGGGTAAGGTAAGTTGACTGATCAGATTGAAGCTTTGGCGAAGATATAGAAGGGCTTGGGAGAGGTAGACGCAGTGCGGCTCTGAAGATGCCTCGCTTTCCATCCACAGCTTTTCGATGGCTTCGAGACGTTGGTCTTCTGTAAGGGCGCGCGGAGTCGCTGGCGTAGAGGTTTTCGGCCACCATTCTCGTGCTGTGACTGGCTGCATTTTACTTCCTACGACCCAATTCCAGCCCGACAGGAGAACGGTGAGGGGACCGCGAAGTCCCCAAATCGTTCTTAGTGCGCAAGACAACATCTTGTCTACTATATCGGGTGGCGGTACAACGGTATCTGGCGATATTGAAGCTCGTAAATTCTCGATATCTATCGCGGAAGTGCGGAAGAGGTACACGGCTGTGAATGTCGAACTCGCAAAGAGTGCTGCGGCGTTTTCCTGAGTTACATTCTCGAGCTCCATTCTATACCTTACTAAAGCTTTGTTCATTCGTGCTGCTGCCAAAGTTTCCATCCTCTTCTTGTCTTCTTTGCGATCGTAAAGCCGACCGAGGTGTAAAGAGGCGACTGAGAGTACACAATTGGTTAAGAAGTCGTGGTTTTGCGCCATTTCGGGGACATAGGTCTGCCATGCTGCCTTCGCAGGGTCATCGCCTGCGAGAGTGAGAGAAGTCGTAAACTCGTAGTGACACAAGACCTCTTGCAGTGGTGGTGGAAGAAGCTCCCGAACATCTTTCCAGGCATCGTCTAAGCGGAGGTAGGGTGGTATAGTAAGCTCTGGGAAATACCCTTGTTGGGAAGGAGATGTCGTTAAGCTGGTGGAGAAGTCTAGGGGCGAGTCATCAAAAAAGACCTCAGTGTGACGTGGTGTCTGCGTTGCGAGGGCTACTTCATTACTGAATGCGATGAGGTTGGTCGGCGAATACGCGGGTGGGTTTCGGGTTTCGGGTGTCTTTGGTGTAGGAAATGGTGATGTGGTGAGCTGTTGTGTTGATGCGGGTGATGTCGAAGTTGTCGAGAGGCGTGACGAAGGGGCCAGCATGAGAAAACTGCATGTATCGCCTTTCTTGTCGCAATTCCCACACGATGGGTGCTTACAGTCGCACTACAGCCCAAATCAGTATTATGAGAGATGGAACAATGTGTGCTTGGTCTTTTTGCAGGTAGGTCTTTGCTCTAGCCCACATAGATGACGGCATTGAAAGCCCATGATGCCTCTCGTAACATGTCTTTATTAGATTCCGGGGCGCCATAATTCACAGCTCTCGAAAGAACTCAAAGCCAGTCGATATTGACATGACTTCCAAGCAAGCACCTTGATTACCCTGTGGCACTGGGCAAGTAACGTGGTTTAGATGCATCAAGCCGGCGTTATCCGCCTTGTGTGCATAACGATGCAAGAGGAGACTAGTACAGACTACTAACCTTTATACGCCTCCGCTTACACTCCTTACATCCCAACCTTGTCTTGTTGTGTGATCGTCTAGTTGCCATGACTTTCGGCTGCGGAAGCCGGTAGCTATACGGTGTATACGGTGGCGTAAAAAGATGTAGGGAGTAATCGCTTAGTTAGCGGCCAAGGCTCTCGATGAGGTTACGACACGTTGAGGTCGTCTATACGGCAGTACGAACGCTGACACGATATACGGAGCGCTGTTGAAGCGTACAAAGGACATAGAATTCGAGATTGAATGTTTCGTAAGGTGCGGCTGTGAGGCTTCCCCACACCGGACCTGAAGCTAGCCACGAATGGCAGTTTTCGTACTGCGCGACCTGTGATTGGCTGATGGAACATCCGGAAGCCTTTACGTTTCGGATCTTCCTACGTGTGACGCAACCCTCGACATCTTGTTGATCATCCTTTGGAGATCTAGACTTCACGTTTGCCATTGTTGTGGTCTGCTGATTTCTATTCATTGCTTTTGTGTAGCGTTCAGACGCCTTGCAAATGCATATGCTACGCGTTATCTACTAGACGTGTAATCAGATGGAATGCGTAAATCATAACCACATATACAGTCATGCAACCAAGAAGCGTTCCACTTGAGCTAAAAGATCGCTCTTAGTTCTTGAACGCGGTAGCATCGCTCCAACGACCTGCGGCCTTCGCCCTGTAGTCGTCCTTGACCTTCTGTGCGCTCCCCCACTGGTTGAGCAACGCAAGTCCAGACTGGGCTTCTTCTATCGTAATGCTCGATAATTCCAGAGTCTTCTGTAGGTCCTGCTCGTTCTGAGATTTTGAGCTGTTGTCCAGGATGTATCGGACAATGTATCCCGACTGCAGATGGGATGCGCTTTGTGAGTGCTTTTTGAGGAAGTCGTTGTTGTAAGCTTTAAGATCCGCATCCGCGGGCGGTGTGGTGAACGAGTCCTTGATGACCTCTGAGGCTTGGGATGAGAGTGGCTCGGCAGGTTTGGCGACTGTACGATTAGCTGTGTGACTGTAGGGGCATTTTGAATTTGACTTACGAGCCTGACGGAAGCGAACGCTCTGCTCGTGCAGCTTGGGGTTCTCCGGGTCGATTTCTCGTGCGGCCTGCAGACATTTCAACGCGAGCAGAAACTTGTCTAGATAGCTGTTAGCATACTGATCGAGTAGTTCGTGAGTTTAAAGAACTTACTTCGTCGCAGGTAGACCTCGAAACCTACGTTCTGAGCTTCGATGTTCTTTGGTGCTAGCTCGAGCATCGGCTGCAGGAAACGTAGTGCGTCCTCCAGAGGCTGCTTCGTCTGAAGAAGCTTCTCACCATTTGGATCTTGGTCCTCCTTCTTAGTCTCACCATCGTCACCCTTGGCAGTTGCTTTTGCTGCAGCTGCCGCCTTGCGTTCAGCCTCAGCCTTCTCAGCCTTCTCTCGTTCCTTCTTAGCCTTCTTTTCAGCTTTCTTGCGCTCTGTGGGATCCAGTTTCTCCAAATCAAGCTCGTCTGTATTCGCGAACTTGGGGTTGTCTGCCAAACGTATGTATAATTCGACTGCCTGAGTAGCTGCCCTAGTGAAGAAAGGATGGTCGCGAAGGTGATCTTCCCATCTGACCATATCGATGTAAGCACGAATCTGGCCCTTTCGTAGCGAGAAGCTGTGGAAGTCGAATTGATCCTCATGCCAAATGTCAAAGATATCGGCAATAGCTGTGAAGCGCTTGAGAGCAAGGCCATATTTCTCTTGTCGCAAGTATGCCTCGCCATCTTCGAGTAGGTACCACATGCACTGCATGTCGTGGAGGTCGCCGAGAGGACCTCCCACAGTCTCGTTGCGAGTGAATTTACTCATAGTGTTCAGCGCTGTCTCGTTCTCGTTGTTTCGCAGCTGGTACTTGGCGCACTTGGTGTTGATGTATCGATCTCTCTCATCGAGCTCTCGCGCATGATTGATCGTTTCCGAAGCTTTCTGAACGTCGCCCATGTGCTTATAGATCCGGGCCTTTGTCTGGTTGTAGTCGACCGATTTCGGATCCTTCTCAAGTAGCTTGTCTATGTACTCCATGGCCTTGTTCAAGTCGCGACTTTGGACGTAGTTGTAATGCTGAGCCAGGAAGTATAGCACAGATTGCTCGAAACGATCAGAGTTGTCGCCGTTGCTCTCGCCGTTGGTCTGTTTTTCCGAAGCATAACCGAGCACAAGCTCCTCAATGACTGCCTTCTTCTCCTCATCCTGGTACAGCGACTTAATGTTGGGGAAGGTTGAGGGAACGCCTTTGTTCAGCATCCTCCTGAGGTATTGGTCTACTTGTGTCTTGAAAGCCTCGCCCTGAAGGAAGTCCAAGGGTATCCGCCTCGCAGCATCGTTGCGCTCGTTCTTGCTAGCGAAAGACTGGTACAGCTCGTTCAGCTTCTCGATATCGGCATCGTTGGATCGGTCCAGCCCAAGGGACTTTTCTAAGCCATCGAAGTACGCGCGGTACTCGCTGTTCCTGCCCAGGAGAATCCTGTAGGCCTTCTCAGCCTCCTCTTTCTGTCCGAGTTCTAGGAGGTACTTGGCCTTCAATTCCAGCGCGGCGCAGCGATCCAGACTGACACGTACCACCTCGTCCAGGTGCTTCAGCGCACGCTCGACGTCGCCGGACTCGTATATTATTTGGTTCTTGTAGAGGGTCGCTTCGGAGTGCTCGAGGTCCAGCTTGGATGGGGGCTGCTTGAGGGTCTCCTCGTACGTCTTGAGGATATTCTCGGCCTCGGCGTAATTGCCTGACAGATGGTAAGCTACTGCCAATGCCGTCCAGTTCTGTCGCAGTTGCGGTCGCTCCTGCATCATCTTCCGCCGGCTCTCAATGTATCCTTCGTAGTCGCGGACTTGGCACTGGAGAAGCGCGAGGTCGCGGAGAATGTTCAGCGAGCCCGGTTCGAGGCGCAGGGCCATCTTGTAGGACTTGATTGCCTCGGGGTAGTTCTTGCCCGACCGCCATAATAGACCGTAGACGTGCCAGCAAATGTGCGACTTCATGTCATTGCGGAGGGCTTCCTTGCAGAGGGCGAAGGCTTCGTCGCCCTGGCCCTGAGAGTTGAGGATCAGGGCCTTCATCGCTTGGGTGTCGCCATGTGTGGGGTGTTTCTTCAAGATCTGCTCGGCAGCTTTCAGGCCTGGCGGGGTCAGCGGCCGTGTATCTTGTCCTGCAATTGACGCCTACCCTTCTTGTATAGCTTTCCCTCGTAGAACTTGACGAGCGATCGGAAGAGCGTCTGCTCCTTGCTGGGGAGTGGTTGCGGCATCGCGACGGTGGGCTGTGTGCAAGACGCGAAGCGTGGACGAGGTTCCGATTACGCACAACTTCCGGTCGGAATGGACAAGTCGACGCAATTGGGACGTGATGGAGGGCGGGGTTGAGGTTGATGCACGGATGATTTATTGGGTGCAGTATATCATCGCGACAATGATTGTTGGATGAGCAGCCGTAGTACTGGTGGCTGGTGGTGGATGTGGCACTACGTCGTGTGTGGGGAGCTCTGAAATTCAATGTCCGAGTGCTAGCCCGCACCTCCAACTCGTCATGCACGTGCCCATCTCTACACCCCGCCTGCATCAAGTCGTCAAATCATCTTCGCTGAGACATATTATGAAAACACACAATACAGCTATGGAAACTATCTACACACTTTTCCACCCACACTTTACTTTGACAGACGTCCAGATCGCCGCTTTTCACTCGTCTCCTCGCCTTTGGTCACTTCTTTAGCGGTAGCCTTGGTCTTCTTTGCGGTGCCGTTCATAGCAGTCTTGCGTTTCTTCGTTGGCTGCGTATCCTCCGCTCCATCAGCTGCTTCCTCATCGACTGCCTCGTCGACCTCTTTGACATCTGCTTTTGCCTTCTTGCTGTTAGGCTTCGTTCTTGCTGGTAGCTTCTCATCCGTAGCACCGACAGTCTTATCTTTCGCCTCCTCTTTGGCATTCTTGCGTCCTCGCTTGACCTTGGCTGGGACCTCTTCTGCTTCGTTGGACGATTCTTCCTTAATCTCTTCCTTGACTTGCTCCTTCGCACTCTTGCGCCCTCGCTTTGGCTTGGCCGGTGCCTCCTCGGGTTCATCGTCTTCCTCCTTCACAGGCTCTGCCTTCCTCTTGCCGCCCTTTTTAGGCTTCGCCTCCTCTTCTGCATCCTCTTCACCTGCGCTTTCAGATACGTCACCAGCAACAGCTGCTGTCTTCTTCTGGACACTTGGTACGATAGCCGAAGTTCGCCCACCAACCTTGAGGAACGTAATCTTCTCTCCAGTGGGGAGCTTCTGTGCTTCCTTTTTGCCTTTGCCCCACCTGTGCTTCATCAACCAGTCTTTGGGAAAGGCATCTGAGTCCCCGTTGGCCTCTACAGCGGTATCGCAGACATACATGATAGCATCGTGCAGCCGTTTTATCTGCTCGTCGCTAAAGGTGTTGCTGTATTGCTCCGGATGTAGACGAGCCTGGTACATGACCTCGTCACTGTAAGGATTAGCGAACTTGATACGTAGCTCTCAACGGTTTTTGACTTACCCAACCCAGTTTCCTATACCCGAGATGTTCGCTTGACTTTCAATCGTTAGTTTACCTGTACAACAATTGATATGTCTATGCTTACTCAAGAAGCAATGCTTTCACAGGCACCTTCTTGCTCCGTAGTTTCTTACTCAGCCAATCCACTGTCAAAATGTCTTTGTCGATGACAGGATCCGGCCCGTTCTCTTTTAGTGGTGTAGTCTTCCTCATATCTTCGGCAGCAGCATCGACTAATCTGACACGAGCAAGTCGCCTTGCATCCACCAACGCGACTTCGTTTTTGGAGTCTTTCAATTGCAAGATGAACTTCCAGTACTTTGGTGGCCATTCTGCTTCTTCGGGCTTTGTTGGGCGATAGTATGCTGATTCATCATTGCTGAACTTTCAAGTTGTCAGTTTGGGTGCAATGAATGAGAAACACAATACCTACTTTCATCCAGCCGGCCATTCCAAGGTGCATCAAAGGATGTGGCGGCGAGTCCATGACCAGCCAAAAGTATTTTCCTTGCTGGCGCGCATCAACTATCTTCTTGCCGGTCATGGCCTCCTTGAATGCGGTCGCTGAAGTGCCGACCTTTCCAAAGATGATCTGAATACTGTGAGTCGAGCTTCTCTAGCCAGATGTGAAAAACGCACGTTATCCTCCTGTGCCTTGACGGCCTCGATAGTTTTCCCAACTGCATGTTTCTTCAAGAAGCTAACAACGCGCGCAACTTCTGCGATCTACTTGATATCAGCAGCCATCATGCGCGTGCGACTGGTACGCGTCCTGACCTCGGGCATGGCGTCGACGCTTGAATAAACTCTGTCGTATAGTTTCGCGAGTATGCACTGCAAAGATGAAGAAGCTCGGATATGATGGGCAATACGTCACTCGATGGAACTGCGGTCGTGAGTTGAGCTGAACTGGAGAGTATCCTGAGTGTCGCGTCAAAGGCTTAGCGCGAGACGCGCTCTCACGGGATAAGCCCGCTACGTCACCACTCATTTTCCGCCTCATCCCTTGTCGGATCTTTTCGATGCTATCAACCACCATGGACGTGGATCTTCTGAGCTTCTGAAGCGCAATTTCGACTGAGTGCCATCGTTCCCAGACACACGAGGATGGACCTGCCTTTCTGGGATGCCCCGCAACACGCCGGCTGCGGGATCGGAATGACATCGACGCACGATAAGACGCGGTTTACATAATTGTCCGCCCTACACGCCAGCCCACATGTACATCAGTCCGATGGTCCTTTGCTACAATCTTTGCGATTGTGCTACACGGACATTATGCGGTGGAATTGGATAGCCGTTGCTGCAAGTGCAGCTTGCGTCTCCTCACATGCTACTCATCATGTCGACGAACAAGCTTTCTCCCAGGAACGCTTAGATGAGCTGGAGAGGAAATGGGGTACAGATGTAAGTTGCTTCTTCACCAGCGTTCGGATTCGGCTCACAAGTGCTCTCAGTGGGGGTTCTCTGGTATCTCGACCTTCGCCCACCTACCGCACACGCGCTGCTTGACGCACCCAGAGACGACATACGATATCGCCATCCTTGGTGCTCCCTTCGATACCGCCGTGTCTTACCGACCTGGAGCTCGATTTGGACCACGTGCAATCCGCGCAGGTTCAAGCCGTCAGACATCCTTCCGTGGTTTCAATCCCCGCGCGAACCTGAACCCCTACACGTCATGGGCCAAGATTGTAGACTGTGGAGATATACCAATCACACCTTTCGACAATACTCTGGCATTGAAACAGATGAGTGAGGCTTTTCTTGAGCTTGGAAGAAGGCCTGCAACCGAGAAGAGCACGGAGAGCGGTGTGCAATATCTCAAGAAGCCGAAACTGCTCACGTTGGGTGGGGATCACAGCATCGCACTTCCAGCCCTGAGGGCTCTCAAGGACGTGTATGGGCAGCCAATCGCCGTAGTACACTTTGACGCTCACCTGTAAGCGTTTTCCCGCCCTAAGTGTGTATGAAATATGTGCTGACTTTGAAAACCAATCACTAGGGACACATGGCACCCCGCAAAATACCCGTCTGCTTGGATCGACCAAGAAGACCCCTCTACCCAGTCTTTCTTCAACCACGGCAGTATGTTCTGGATCGCATCAACAGAGGGCCTGATCGCAAACGACTCGAGTGTACATGCAGGACTAAGGACAAGGCTTTCAGGTGATGAGGCAGAGGACTATACCGACGACTCACAGCAAGGCTGGATTCGCATTGCAACAGATGACATCGATGAGATCGGAGTCAAGGGAGTCATTACTTCGATCATGAATCGCGTGGGGACCGAGATGCCAGTCTACCTAAGTATCGATATCGATGTGATCGACCCTGGGCTAGCACCAGGCACCGGGACGCCAGAACCGGGTGGTTGGACTACGCGTGAACTCATTCGCATTCTGCGAGGTATTGAAGGCATGAATGTAATTGGTGCCGACATCGTTGAAGTCAGCCCAGCATACGATGGTTCAGCAGAAACCACAGGGATGGCAGCCGCACAGGTCGCTTACGAGGTGCTCACGAGCATGGTACGTAGGGGCCTTATTGATCAAGCACGAACGAAGGTGACGGCGCACGAGGGAAAAGATGAGGACAAGAATGAGAACAAGGATGAGCTCTAAGCTTGAATATACTTCCACGAAGCTCAATCCATCACACCTACGGTCACTCACAGCATTAATGAAGTCAAGCAATTGTAATTTGAAATATCGTGCGTTGTAATATTTACGAAGAAGTCGAATGTAAAGACCAGCCGGAGCTTGCCACTGAAGCGGAAATATTTCTTACAGCCCAACCAGGAAACGCCAAGCTCTAATCATCAAGGAAATCATAACTCTTCATCTCGAACGCATCTCAGATACCAGAGTCAGTCTGGTTGTACGGCCTATCGGCATCGGGAGCTGATCCCTCTGCCCAGTAAGAGTCCCACTCGTCGCACCCATTCTTGAGTATGCTGGTATCGCCCAACTTGCCCTTGATCTCACCCATGCGCTCCATGAACTGCAGACTGAGACCCTGACTAGCGTGCCACGCGATATGGCAATGCATAATCCACATGCCGGGGTTATCAGCGGGGAAAGCAATAAGCATGTAACCACCAGCCGGCAGCACAGCAGTGTCACGACGCGTAGGGTTGTTGAAGTTGAGACCGTTGGTGGAACCATCCCAAGTACCAGAGCCGCGGCCAACAATATAGTAGTCGTGGCCGTGGAGATGGATGGGATGGGGAAGTGCGATCTTGGAGGTGGATTGGATCCACCACATGTACCAGCCAGATCCGTCCATGGTGTAGACGTTGCCGTTTGGACCAAAGTCTTTGGATCCGGCGAGAGCAGTCTCGAGAGAGGGATCGTTCCAGTCTACAATGTGCGGTGTGCCGTCAATGAGCCAGCGGAAAAGGTTGTTCTTGGCGGGGTCGGCAAAGGAATCTACCGCCATCTTGTGGCCCTGGACGTCTCCCATGACGGTGCTGGGCACAGTGTTGGGAACAAAGGGAACAAGGTTGCTGGAGAGCTCATCGTCGCACGACGTACGCATGGTGACTGTGGTGGTAGACTTGGGGTTGCCGGTTGTGGCTGCGCCGTCGTAGTGGAGGATAGCACCTAGTGTCTTGCCAGACGTGGTCATGGCATTGCTACCACATGATCCGACGGCGACACGGAACCAGTAGTTGTCAACAGTTTGGTTGGCAGTGATGACTACGTCGTACCGCTGACCGATCTGCAGGGTCAATTGGTCGGTAACGTAGGGCTTAATAGGCACAAAGTCGGATGTCAAGACGGTGAAAGGATGACCGTCCATGGACACACTGAAAGTGCTGTCTACAGCTGTGTTGATGAGGCGGATGCGGTATTTCTTTCCCTTGACTACGTTCATCCTGGCATACTGTCCGTTGTCGTTGGCCGCGTTGATATGGGTACCGTTGACCAAAAGATTGTCAGGCGTGGGAGGTCCACGGGTAGAATGCTGTGCAATCTCGTTGAGTGTAAAAGCTGGCCTGTAGTACCAATCGGTTATAGGTAGGGCACCAAGGTCAACATCGTAGTTGGCAGTGGCAGGACCATCGATGATGATAGGACCAACGACACCATCGCCGTATTGAGCCGAGAAATGAGAGTGGTACCAAGATGTGCCAAACTGAGTGGCCCTCCATTTGTACTGTCGGGTCTTTCCGGGTGCAATTGGGCACTCGGTGATTCCAGGAACTCCGTCGTTCTGGCAAGTGTTCAGTTGCCTAAGACCATGCCAGTGGATACCGGTTCCGTTGTGCGCGAGGCTGTTCTTAACATTGATGATTACAGTGTCACCCCACTTTGCTCGTAGAGTGGGACCGGGATATTGGCCGTTAACCAACATCATCTCTTTCGAGGTGCCACTGCCATCTGGGTTGGCCTGGGTAACATTGGTAATCTCGAAATTGTACTGTAAAGTAATTAGCACGCGTCTGGGTAGCAATGTAGTGAGATACCTACGGTCACGGTGTTTCCAGCCGGAGGGGCCTTAGCATCGAAGTCGGTGGCAATGCTGTAGCCATCGCTCCAGCAGCTTCGTGTGCGTGCTGTGTTTGTGCAAGCACCGTCTTGCCTCTTGACAATCTGTTCATACGAAGGAAAGTCATCTGAGAGCGGTTCGGCCCGTAGTGGACCAGCGAGTGCAAGCGATCCAAAGGAGAGCCACACGGCTAATGAAGGAACCAACATGGTGGTATAAAATGCAATATATGAATGCGAGGAAAGAATGGAACTGTGGTCGGTATATATGAAGAGATGCTGACCAGGCCAATGAACGATGGATGGGCCCTGGAGTTAATCAATGCAAGGCAGGGGCTGACCAGAGTACAGGTGCCGTTATATATGAAGTTCGTCCCATAGACACCCCAGGTACAAGTCATTGACGGTGGCGGCAGTGCGTGCTTAGCCATGGGTACTGCCCAGGGCGAAGTCAGCCAGCCGTGACACCGACTTTTTCTCGCTTATTGCTGCATGTCAGTTGGACCCGCGTGGTCCAGGTGGTCAGATCGACGTGGAGGCGCCCTAGCAATGCTCCTTCGTACTATCACACGAGGAGAAACTTGCAAGATCACGATCGTTTGAAGCTAATCGTTAACGCCGTTTAGGCAGATATGTGAGGTCGGTAGAAACAAAGACCGATGGGCTGAGGCCTGGCAATGGTAGTGGATCAATTACGAGCATATCGGCGACTGAGTGACTGTCAGGCGAAGTCGATGAAGCCAAGACATGAGACGGTGCACGGATATAACTCCGCATTAGGCCTCCGGTGTGTAGGGACCAGGCCAGCGCTAATTCAGTGGCAGTTCAAACTTACTAGGAACGGTGAATGATAGGCGGCCCTACTCGTGTTGCACATCCTTCTGAGGTAAAGGATCCTAGAGACTCGCGTAAAATGGTAGACCCTGGTCGGATGCAAGATCTATTGAAATGCAGATCCGGTACTCCACAGAGTCACTGCCGCTACTCCAAGCTACCGTGTGCTTATCGGGGACAAGAACCCGCACTGTATAGTCGGATGTAGGCGTATAGGCCAGTGTAAGGCGTGTCTTAGTCCCGATGCAGAATCTGTTTGTGAAGTGATAAAAGCACGGAGAACGCATATTGCTTGTGCGGACCATGTGGCTTGACCCACGCAAATGGAAGATGGGAATAAGCCCATCTCATTTGGTACCGAGGTAAGCTAACTACCCAAGCGGACCCAATTGAGTGCTAATTCTGTTACCAGAATAACCTCATACGGCAGATGCAAGGGCTAACCGAAGGCACATGGACCAGCCGTATTCCGATCCACTGGTTCTTCAACGATGGTATCAAAATCCGGGATCAGAGTCAGGCTGACAGAAGCTTAGAAGCAGCGATATCCTTTCCATTTCCTTGCTGACGTTGAGCATCAGATGTGGATATTCAGTTTCCCTGCTGTGGCTTGTACGGACCCGATCAGACACGGGCTTATCGGAACCATCGTCAGCTTGATGGGGTCCATTACAATTGTCTAGTCGGTCTGGCCTTGTTATTCCTTGCCTCCTGCAAGGTGGTATGATATGCCTCTCATGCATGCTGTGTAGCTCGACCTCCGGGCTCAGGGATGGCCTTCCGACCTGTAAACTTACTTGATAGACTCCGGCGACCAAATCATACATCCGAGTAAACGGCCGACAAGCCGGCCGCTAGAAAAGCTTTAGATACACACATGAATGCGACTATCTCAGTAGAGAGGTGAGCGCCCACGAATAGACACGAGCGCGGAGGTGATAGTTTGGTTGACAAACGCTTGGATCGGCATGTGCAGCTCGTGGAAACGCGCTGGAAACAGCGGGACGGGCTGACAAGCGATTGACGAGCCTATCACCGCTATGAATAACTCTACTGACCGGGCAGGATGCTGCAAGAATATGCGGACGTTGGGGCCGAGTGAAGTGACGTGAACACTAAGATCGGTTCAGGGGTATGGGCGCTAACCCAAGCACGGGCTGGCACTAGGCTCCGAGTGGCTTCCATAGCGGCCGCATGCCTTTGCCTCCACTTGGCACCACTTTTCTTCCTTCTGCAAGGCGATGTGACGCCTTGCGAGGGCTAGGTACTGATGAGGCGCAGAACACTGCTTTACTGTCTTTACGACATGCTGACCGCCTGCCCCGCCCACATGTTCCAGTCTGTCACAAGCTCGCTTCCAAGCTTCCGTGTTGACGGTGTTAGATCAAGCACTTGCCATGACTATTTTCATTGGACTATTTTCATTGCATCCTCGATTCAAGCCGGCTTACTCGGCGGTCGGAGCATAGTTCGTATGCGCAAAAGATAAGCCGTATTGTTTGAAGAACCTGCTCAGCTCAATCATCATACAAGGTACAAAAGAAGTCATGGCCCACTGACTCTGCATATCACATCCAGCGTATCATACCTGCACCTTCAGTCATTTGCTTGAGTTACCATCATGATGTACTCTCGTTCTGTACTCTTCACGGTGGCTGCCGCCTCCATCACCTTCGTTAACGCTGCTCCCCAATTCGACGTCCCTAGCGATGGCGCTACCTGTTACTCATATGGTGTTGACTTTATCGATGAAGGAAGCTACTTCATTAATGCAACATCGACCGAAGACTTTAGTGCTGTCTCTTACTTCCAAGGCTGCAACAAAGATGGTGAGGCCGATGTCATGCTCATCGCACCAGAGGATGCACCTGGAGAGACGGAATTCATATGCGACCAAATCCCTACAACCCCTGACAATACGAATGAAATCTCGAAATGTCCTATTCGGAAGGACCAGATGGTTTCAGGTCACTGGCTCCTTCTCGTTATGGGAAACAATGGTTACGAAGCCGATGGCGTAACGAACGGCAAGCCTTTCGCATGGCAAAGAGGTACGTCTTCGCATATCCCCTGATTCGCATGGTACGCTTACTGACCGATTCAGATTTGTACTTGACCGTCGGTACAGCGGTCACTACCACATATACCCCAACAGTGACTGCGTCCATGACTGAGACACCTACAATGACTCAGACTATTATTACCACCTCGACTGATGTTGTCACTGCTGGACCAACCTCGACTGTTACCGTACCTAGTGGCACGGCCAAGAAGATCAAGACAGTGAGGCCCAAGGCAGTCACCACGACATCTACGAAAACTATGACCCGCACTAAGGTCTCCTGGACCAAACAAGTTGGTGTCACTACCAAGACTGTCACAGCCACCTGCACCACTCCAGCTCATGTTGGTAGGCCTGACAAGCCTTGCACGTACTCTCCCACCAAGATCCACCCCGCGGCCCTTGAGACACCAACTCACATACCTAACTACAACCGCTTGTTCCGCAAGGGCGACCGTGAGGTCGACTACGAGTGGGCGCGTGCTCGCATTGAGGCCGCAAAGCAGAGGCGCGCTGAGCAGGCTGGAAAGCTTGATCGCCGTGCTCCTGACGCTCCCACAACAACTGTCACTTACGGAACTCCAGTCTCAGTAGTCGCTACTATGACTGCGCCAGCTATTACCACAACCGAGACTGTTCTGCTCACAGCCTCTGCTACGACAACGCTTCCTCCTCCCACTGTTCTCTCCGGTCTTCTGACTTTGACCACTACGCTGCCAACTCCGACAAAAACCAAGTTCAGGCTAGCCTTTGCCACCACAACTAAGGTCATCACTTTCGGCGGCACATTTACTAAGACAACAACGGTAACTCCTACGGCGGCAGTGAGTGCCTGCAGGAAGCACGGTGGTCATTTCTGGCGGTTCTAGTGAATCGTGGTCTGTGTTAGATTCGGGCCTTTAATTATTTGATTTATATTTGCTGTTGTTCGAGCGCGCATAGCATGTATCACAACTGATGTGCATAGCACCGGTTAGACGAATTCATGACTCTTTCTCTACCAAAATGTCCAAACCATGTGTCTGTTGCATCTGTCGTGCCTCTGTGATACTGACACTGCCGCCTACCTACAGCCGCCTTGCATCGTCATCCCACCTGCATTGCTCGAGCTGTCAACACGTCACACACGGTATGCATCATCGCCATCTCCAGAACCCTGCCCTGACATGCAAGCAACGACCGAACTCGGATACCAACGTGGAAGAAGTTCAAGTAAACTTATCCGTTGATACGTCACGGCAACCGCCTTTACGCCCTGGTATCGGCGCTAACATGCTGACACTCACGCCCACAAACCAATGTTGTCAACCCCTGTTCATGGCTGGCTTACCTGCTGCCTGCACATTGCAAGCATTGCAAGCGCAGCCTCCTCTCCTGACGTGACACGAACCAAAGTCCCGGCATTCTGCCACATCAATAGCCCCGAGAGTGGGAACACAAGGGTCGTGCAGCTCTCCAGGTCGTAGCGTAGACACTTTCGCGCAGTATCGTGGCAAAGATCGAATCATGTGGGTCTACCTAATTGATAGCTTGGTGGGGGATGCAAGCTAGTTTGATCGCTCCAGGGTATGGATCTCCTCTCCGACGTCCGAACGCTTGGAACCTATGTGCGTGTCATCGTCAAAGAATTTGAAGCCTCCATGGAGAACGGCCCAGAAGAATCATCATGAGAGATGGATGGCGATGGAGGAGGCACGGCAAGTGCGTGCCGTCTGACTGCTCATCGACAAGACAGCGCACGCACCGAGTTCCTGCTTCCCCGTCGTCGCACATCTCCGCGACCAACATGGACAATGTGGCGTAAGCCACACAGATGACATAATTCCGTACTCCAGACCCAGAAGAGTAAGCCCCGCGACCATACCTAGGTATGTCTCAGAGGCCCTTAGCCCTCTAGGCGGCTAACAGGAGTCTGAGCACTCTACCTCGCGTCGTGAGTCAGGGCTGATGGCGATGTCACAGTACTTTTCGTATTTATCCCCGAGAAGGGCTAAAAAAGCTTAAACTGGCTTTGGGGTCGTAGCAGCTATTTTCTTTCTTTCGCTACCAAAGAAACAAGTTCCTGCGCGTGCATGGATCCTGCATCTCCCAACAGCATGTTCACTTTACCTCCTATCGTCCGACGCAGCCTCGAAATTGGGTGCAGTCGCTTACCTTTGATCGCAAGTGAGTGGTGATTGCTTAGGCGCCCCGCACTTTCTGCCAGACGAAAGCCCACATAGCAGCTGAAAGTTTGCGATCGCATTTCGTAGCGCGGTGGAGCAGTGGATTCTCAGTTCACCTGAGCACAAGCTCAAGGCGTATTTTTAGCCGGCCTTAATCACTAGCGGTGCGGATCGGAACGAAAACGACACGAGTACGGTAGCCAACTACCGCCTTGGTATTTGCAGCATCGCATGGTCATTGGTTTTTCCCATGCGAGCAGCTAAGCATTCAACGGGTGGCCTGGCACCGTGTTTTCGCTTTCCTTTTCCCGTCTTGGAAACAGACGAAGTGCTTCTTAAACTCCAGGCGAACAACTAGCTGGCTTACTCAACATACCAAGCTTTTTGCCTTCAGAGTTGTTTTTCGCAGACGTCGAGTGACAAATGATACAGCAACAAAACCTCTACTGTATGGCTTCGAAAAACAAAACAGCTCTCTGCTCATGAAGTGGACTCGATTACCTAAACCGCTGTTCTGATTCGGCGGAAGCTCCGCGAACATCAGGTCTCCAAGCACGGTAGCCAAGACTTTGGCCGAAAAGTTCCGGGCCGGTGAGCGTGGAGATGAAGAAACAGTCGATAATGTGGAGTATAGAAGCTCGTACGTGGGTAACATCTTTTGACAGCCTTACCTCATCAGGGATACAATGCGGATCACGATCCAAGTGTAAGCAGAGGCGTGGAGTGGACAACGATGCTGTGGGTACGTGGAGTTGGCAGTCAAGGAACCCTCGTTGAGCGCTTGAAAATTCTGAGATGTACATGTCAAGGTTGAAGTCGCTCGATCACAATTCTAAGCGTTCCTATTCGTCTGCTTGGTATTTCAGGCCCTTCGAAATCAATATCTGCGAGGCAATGCTGACTGAAGTCTGCAGCAATAGCAGACTGCTAAGCGTCTGACTCAGGACAGGTACTCGATCCCAGCTCAGTCATCAGCCACTCGAAGGTTAGGCTTACTTGGCTGCATATCTACACGAGGAAGCCTGATCCAACACGCCGCGTCAAGCTCTTTGATCACGAGCATGAGAGTCCAGGCAGCATGCTGGACTGAAGACGCTGACTCTTTGCTTGTGTAGTCCATCCTTTTCGTACAGCCACAATTCTTTGTGATCGGTACCATTGCCCCGAAGTCGTACCACGCTGACCGCTGCCTCATGAATCTGAACTGGAATATGGGCTCTCGTGTCGAATAGCGAATGCTCCACTCTACCTCATCGAAATGAGGGTCATGTCAGCCAAAGCACACAGGATTGCAGCCACTTGGGGATAAGCCCCGAGATGGACTCCGAATTGCGGCCTCAGTATCAACTTTCATGGTGGCCTAACATGGAACCGCAATCATGTCTAGATTGTCAAGGTCTATGAAAGCCCCGTGGTTTTTGGATTTGCTTCCATGTCTAACTTGCAAAGTGCAGCCGCACTGGCATTGCAGAGGTGCTCATACAGTACGTGCGGCAATGCGGTCGTACGACGAGGTAGTGTCACCTTCAGAATCCTGGATTAAGCAACTAGAAGATCTGCATAGATCACGTCCAGTAGGAAGCGTCATATTGTCGTGCAAGGCAAGCATAGCACATCTGTCTGCCAAATAAACCTCGAATCCAAAGCCTAATGCGATAGCGAGATAAGAATATCAAGCAGATGCAGGGTCCTGTCACAATGCATGTCAACGTGACATCGTGTTTGGTACCGACCCAGAAACGCGTCTCGGTTGCCACTCCGCAAGCTCTTGCAGCGGCGTTCGAGCAAAAAGCAATAAAGAGCCTCAACGTTCGAAACGCTCGATATCCCACATTTGAGTTCGGCATCCCGCGCACCGAAGGTTGCGCCGAGGCGACTATTGAACCAAGCCTTGGCTGTCGATTAGTGAAGAACTCTAAACAACAACCGGTCTTGGGACTTCGCTATCTCAAAACTTTATTGCGATTCGCACGGCTACCTGCATGAACACGGAAATCGATGCTAAAGTTAGCATGCCAGGAAATCTGAGGTAGCGATGACCTCAAGCGCTCCATCTACCGCGAAGATTTGAGATTAGGTGTCGTAGTCGGCTGTCACATGTTGAAAAACTTTTCCGAGGAGACATCTAGATATTGATGTAAGGCGGCTTAAATGCGCTTAAACTAGATGACGTCTGGCAAGCTGGTATAGCAATTTAAAGAACCAATACGACAAATTGTGGTTACTGCGAGAGACTGCCGAATGGCCAATCACAATGTGCGGAAAGCGGTCGTATACCACAGCTAAAGAAGACTTGATTGATACATCGCGTCGAGAAAAGTGCTTGCTTTATGTAAGTCAAGTGCTGAAGATGTTGTTAAACAGCGTAGTGCTCTGGCAGCTGTCCTGAACCTCTTCACGGATTGTGCAGCTATCAAAGCATACTGACGAAATTCACATACTTGGTGCATAAGCCATGCAACCACGAGTCAAAGCACACCGATAGTGACGATGCCCACCGCGTAAGCAAGTGACAAGATCTCATGTACGTGACATCGTACATCTTGTCACCTTATACCCTGCATTCGAGACCACCGAGACTGGGTATGAAGATCGTCTCGTGTCTCGTGCCTTATGTCTACGAGGACTGCATAATGCAGAGTCCCAGACACGCCCTCGGAAGCACGACCATGTAGATCTACTGCGTGGCAGCTGCAATGTGGTGGTACATATATGCCAAGGATCTCTCGGCGAGAACGCTGTTCCGGAGAGTGTAAACCTAACGCTTGTGCTCGGAATGAGGCTCTTTCTCCCGAATGAGGGGTCCGCAGATGGGAATTGGGCGCATGTTCTTCGATTGAAGATAGGGAGTGCCGTGTGAGAAGTACGGTGATCTGCACTTGGACGAAGTTGTGTTCTGTCGTCCAGCACAACTCAGTTCTCCGTCTCCCAGACAAGCGTCTCGCGTCCTGCAAACTGCATCACTGTCCAAGCATTCTTGCCTCCAAAAGCTTGAGCGCTCATGACAAACCACCCCACCTCTTCGTCCTTGACCATGCTATTGCCTTCCATATCCACATCTGTGTCTTGTGTACCATTGAGCTTCTTCCTACACTTGGAGCCTTCTTTTCTAACCGTAAGGAAGAGGTCGCGCACAAACGTCGGCGACATGAAGCCTCTCCATCGCACTGTGACCAAGTTCCTGGTAGTGACACCTTGGCCTAGATCTGGAACGTCGTAACGCGCTAGATGCGGGTTGATATTGTCGCCCTTTTCCACTCGAGGAGACTTCAGCTGGAGCATATGGAGGTACTCGAGGAGATCGAGCGCCTCTTCTTCTTCAGCATACAGCTTCGTGAGGTCGCTGACGGGGAGCTGCGGCACAAGAACGTTGTCCATGCTTATCTCCTCGGGTGCCATGTTGTGTAGCCAAGGCGCGTGTCTTGATATCGGTTCCTTACCCTCAGCAAGCGACTCAGCAGAAGAAGGATTGAAGTTGTAGAAGAGCCAGGTGAGCGACCGATCCAGGACATTCTTGCACGCCCACTCCAATCTTGAGAATCCCCTTTTCCCATGCTTCATTGAACTAGCGCGCAGATCGTATTCCACTACCCACCGCTGCTTCTGGTGCTTCTTGCCGCCGTCTTCGATCGGGATGCCCTGTAGGCCGCATCGTTCGTACGTCGGACGCGTGAGCTCCATGCGCAGAGTGCCTTCGTATAGTT